TTTTTTTTTTTTTTTTTTTGAGAATTTAGCTCAAAGATTCACCGAATCATCATGAAACTTTTGAGATGAGGCCGAAATGCTGTATCTGCGTTATGCCAATGAATTTACATTGTTCTCAGCGTTTGTCAGTCGGAAGGAATATATGGACACATTTGTTACGCGGTAAAAATTAATGTTGTTATCTGAGGTTGTCTTGAGGGTCTGAGGAGTTCAAAATCTTTCCCATTCGATTGCCTCCGGGATCTCAATCCAGCAGTTTTTAGGAGTTTGGGTTGGCTCAAAACAGACATGCTCTCTCGAATTCACAATCCACCACCTAATGATATTGCCCCAGCGCTCGAGCTTTTCGAGGGATTCGTAACAGTGTTGCTGCAAGTTTATGGAGCGTTTCACTCCGTTCCATGTAAGCGTGCGGTAAGTTTTTTCTCTTCCCACTTTTGAACTATGCCCTGATCGAATACTGGTAACAGATTTCGAGAAGTTGGTTCAGCAATATAAATTTTCCTTTTATATGTCCTTAGACTCGGCGAGATCGCGATGATTGGTTTCCTAGGTAGCACGCACCGTTTATGATCTATTGATTAAATTGTTCAGATTCTTGGAGTTATGTGTGAGTTGCCAAGAGATGGTATAATCTACGCAATGGCTGATCCCAAGAAGGTCCTGTTCGAAGCTGTGACCACACAGTTGTATGATCCAGGAGCAGGGAATAAGGAATTGTTGACAGAGGTGGGTCAAGTTTTCGAGGACGTTATAAGCGACTCGGTTTCCCTGTTCCGCTTCTGAAGTTCATTCTATCGATTTACATCAGTTTCTGAGAGTATCGGAGGTCATTCTTACTTCTGAATGGCCCTACTTTAGATTGCTTTATATCTTATTGTGTTGGCGAGGACGAACGTAATCAAGTATGATCAAGTTTCACGTGTAGCTGTGGAACTCATCGAGAAAGCTACTCAAAGCAATGCCACTGAAAGTATGGTTATTTTAATTTTTCAGCATTCTTTTTTTTTCAAAAATTATGCTGTTTAGTAATATCTGCGGTCGAGGTGATACTTTTGGAAATTTTGTTTGCACAACGTATGGATGCTGACGTCATCTATGCAGCATTTCGGAATAAATCAAAAATGCTTTTGTCAATGGCAAGTCAGCGTACCCTCTTGCTTTGGACCTTATTTCTTCATTCCTCGAGGAATGATGAGAGTAGGTATGATTTGCTTTTTTTTTTGTTGTCCAAAATAGACTGAATCGATGGATCAGACCCCCACCCCTACTCGTTTTTTTCTCCCCTATGGAGCCCTTTCCGAATCAGAATGAATCCGTGTTTACTTTTGAGGCAAATTCATGAAACACAAACAAGAATGTGGGTCGCAGATTACTCCCTTTAAATGTATGAATTAAACGGAGGGTTCCTTCCGCCAACCTGTGTGGGCTCAGTGACAGTGACCGACCTCGTGTAGGACTTGTGAAAATGTCATCCTTCGCTTAAGCGCAGTGTTTATTACTAGAGAGTTTTTGAGTTGTACTATAAATACCCGATATTTGGTACCAATTTCGTTTGAGAGGATAAATGCACTGACACCGACATCGACTGTCCTGTCCATGTGTAGGTCAAGGTCACTCGCTTCGTACCGGCACTGCGATTCTGTATGGAAGTTGAATCTAACGGCGCATCCCAAGTACGGAATTGATCAACGCTAAAATTTCCCCTGATCCTTTATTCTCAGGTGCCCAGATGATGGCAGTACGTATATAGTTTTAGCAAGCAGAAATTCGGCTAGCTCGATGGTTTCTTAAACTGTCGTTACAGATGGTCATCTACGTCTGTTGACTTTTTTGCTGCATATTCTGAATATTCTGCGGATTGCTCAGAATCAGCGCTCAATCATTCTGTCTACGCCGTGGTCACTGCATTCTCGTGTATGGCTCCAGCTATGTATCGTCCTATAGACAACGTTTTTCAACTGCTTCAAAGTTCAATGGTAAATGAGGTCTGTGACAAGTTTTCGAAGATTACTTACTACCAGCTTCGAGTGTTCCCTTACATTTAAGGATATTCCATTTGCTGTCAAATTAAAACGGAGCGTGCCACTGCTATTCGCTATTCTGAATAATGTTGCTGAAGAAAAGCTGCTGATGCGGGCGGAACAAATGCTTTCTGAACCATTGGAGTGGTTTGTGCGGTTAGCAATACTGGAAATAATTTTTTCATGTTCTTTTCATGCTTTCTTGTTTTTGGCTACACATCATTGCGAATCGGATCCTTGCTTACCTAACTCCCCTCCTTCCTGTGACAAATTCGGATTGCCTGGTTAATGCTGAGCATCCCCTTTTCAGTGCAGATGTTGCAACATTCCCGAGCATGGAATATGCAAAGGGGGATGCCCGGAATAAGGGGATCGTTTGAGTTGCCAATATTTGGTGTGACGTCTACGCCTATGCCGTACTTCTTTCACCCATTTGAGGCTTGATCCTTGCTTTTCGTGGAGTCCGCTGGTTCAGAATATTCTAGCATGAAAATGGAAACCTGAACACCCAGACAGAGCCGGGGCCCCTCAATTAATCGCGCATCTTTAATTCATAGTATCTCGGTATGGTTGCTGAGAATAAACTTTTTTATCTCGATTTTTATCTTTTTTTAACTGACTTTATCAGCACGTATCATGGTTGTAGTCATTTTCTGTCATTCTACATCTGCTACCTCGTCATGCCACACTCTAACATATACTACTGCCTTTTTCTTTCTAATTTTTCTACCGACGTGTATCAGTTGCTATCACTTCCTGACATTTGACCACTCTCTACATCGTGCGTTAAGGAACTAAATCTGCATTCCCAGTACGGAGTGAGATTTCGTTGCAACTTCGATGTCTTGTCGCCCATAATCAAAATTTATTGATCATTGTTATCTCCTAGCACGAACCATGTTGAATCCCGTTACCTTCCACAGGAACAGATATACTCAACGAATTGCATATATTAGGATGTTATAGGAATGTATATGATTTAATGATAGAAAGCGTGACAGTTTCCCTCAAAGCTGATGACGTGCTCATAGACTACATATTGCTTCTTCTACAGACAATGGTTAACATTTTCAAAGCTGGTTAGTTCACCGTTTTAATTCTTCATAAAAAGAATCTCACTGTTTTCTATGATTTCTTGAAGTTTCTATTTCAAGGGAGCTATCCGAAGTTGTCATCATCGCTGCATACTCGTTTGAAGGAGTCTGACTCGTTGTCAATCCAATCGCTGAGTGTCACCCAGCCAGCCGTATTGTCGCAGTGGTTGCAATTATTCGCTTTATACAATGACCCCTTGGAGGACCACGTTGATGTCAGTCAGTGTACAGAGTGAGTATTCACTTACAGTTGTGTGTGTTTATAAATAGGTGAGTTTTATGTTTACTGGCAGTTTTTTTAGTAAGTGAAGAAAGGACCTTCCCTATTTGTGCTCATTGAAGCGCCTGTGTAATGAATGGGTAGATAGATAGCTTCATTGGTCGTACTCAAAAATAAATTGCTGGCAAAGTGAGAAGGAAAAGGGTCAAATAAAGAAGCGCTTTTGGTGGCATCACCGAAGATGTGACCTAAAGCACAGTTGTATTTACAGGTACGTCGCCAGGTTATGTGCTTCGCTGTCTGGCACTTCTCCCTCGGATATTGATATGGGACTGATGGATGAAACGCGATTCGCGTGAGTTTGACTAGTGTTCTTTATTTTTCCAACTAAATCTTGCTTAACTTACTGACTAGGTTTAGAATACCACCTGATCCACCGCTGACAACAGAAGGATCTCTTCTAGAATTCTGCAAATCGGTTTTCCCTGGATCTATGTGGTACATGAATCCTACGATTTTTCGTACTCTACTATCCTTAGAGCCCCCAGATATTTATTATGTTTATGAGTGTGTGGTAGGTTTCTTCTCTCTACGATGATTTTCTTTTTCTTGAACTCAGCCGAATCCTCCTCAAATTTTTTTTCAGGATGCAGATAGGCGCTACTCTTTCCTAGGCTATCTATTGAGAACTGTTTCTGAGCACCTAACTTCTCAGTCAGGTCGGTTACCCGTCAAGTAGTTGTACGTACCAGCTTGCGTGGGTGTTCTATATTTTCTTGTTACCAGTTCTCCTCTGTAACTTCTCACGTTTTGCTCCAGATAGCTTTTTTTAGATTCAAGCCAGTGCACAGAGGCCTTCTTTACTGTCTTAATCTTTTCATTTTCCTCTTTCTACCTTTCATTAGCATCCCTTTCTTTTCATCTACGTTCCCGATTTATTTAACTTGGTTTGACTTGCTTTTTTCATACTTCTCTGTGTAAATTTTTCTCCTTCATCCTAACTACGGTATGGAGACGTTTTGGGTCCGGGAACTTCTCCCCTAACACGGCGTCGCCCACGCCGCACCCGCCGCCTATCGCAGGATTGCGATGGAAGATTGGAGCGCGCAATTTGTGAGGTAGGGAGTCCTTTAATTATTTGAATTGGCTGGCCGCTCTTTTCAATACCAATGCGGACTTGATCGTCGTTTATATAGGAGGAGTCATTTCAATTAATCAAGTCTAATTAACATGAAATCTAAAAAGAAACAGAAGAAAAAACGATAAAATCCAATGAAAAAGCAAGCCAGTCAAGGAAAAATATCGCGTCCTATCGATTGGCGGGAGGCGGGGTGAGTACGGTAATTGCAGTGGCATTTTCCGCATGCCGCAAGGGAGAATGCCGCGATAGGGGAGAAGTTCCGTTACCCAGACGTTTTTGAGCAAGGGCTACTTGTACGAAACAAATGTACAGGTTGTTTTTACTCCTATTTTTCTTTGTTCAGTCAATCCGGACTCCTACAAGAACGCTTTGACGAAAGCGAAGGAGATCGTAGATGTAGTTTATGATTTGGTTGAATATGAAGGAACCCAAGATGAAGAGGCGCTTCGTTTGAAACTCTTCATTTTATCCAGGATACCACTGTTGGTAAGATATTATCTACACGATTCAGCTCTGCCAAATTTTGTAGTACTGCTTACGAATCTTCAGAATACAACGGAGATTGTCTGGGGTAACTTCACATCAAACGAGGTGTTGGCCTTATTGGATTTTGTGGCGAATGAAATTGTAAGTGAACATATTTTGGGTTACCATGTCCATGAATTTGCCTCCTGGAGCGATTTACTGGAAAAGGGGTGGGTAGGGTAAAGTCAGAAACTCCCAAATGATTAAATGAAGTGAGTGCGTTCCAGTAAAAGGGCTCTCAAAAAATTCACATGAAAAGAAATGGGTTTTTCGTCGTTTAGTGTCCCAGAGTGAAGGCCAATAGGTAGTGCTTGTTTTTGACTTCCCAAGGCTCCCTGGCAAAATGCTTGATGCCGATTANNNTTGATGAAAGTTTCTAAAGATGATCTTGGTTCTCTAGCAGTTTACAGTAGTTCAAATGCCCTCTGCTTAATGCATTCTCATGTCCTTCAGTTTTTTTTTTCGATTGCATAATACAAGTCACAAGAGCACTTGGTTTTTTTTAAGACGCTACCAACATGCAGTTTGCAATCAACTTGTGAAGGGCTGGCATTTATGATGGGACATTCGTCAACGAAGGAGATGTTCACCCGTGATATATTCTTTGCAATTCAAAGTATCCACAGACTGGTTGTCAGTATTTTGAAATTATTGGATAAGGTGAGTTCCTCAATCTTTCCACGTAAGCAACATCAAAGACGTGATTGTACAGGGTAGCCCTTCGAGGTTTGACCACGTGTCTGCAACTGATAAAATTGTTGTTACGACTACCTCAGATGTTGCAGGGTCTCAAGACTACGAAGACTTCGGTGGACTAGACGGTGAAGCTTTGAGAATTCGATCACAATTGTACAATAACTGATGATTCGAATAATTCTGAATTATTTCAGGGTTTATTGTTACGTTGTTCAATGATGTTCATAATATTTGTCATTACTATCGATCTCATGCTGGTGGTTATATGAACCATGTTGAGAAGTTAACTAGAGGTCACTAAACTTGTACCCAAGAAAAATAATTACTTTGAATCATCGGCTCTCATTTACAGCGCTTTTCCGTCATCCGATTTTGCACAAATTTGCTATTGTTCCTTTTGCGGCTCTCAAGTAAGTTACCAACAAGTTATTCACCAATCTTTTGATTAATTCTGTCAATTCAGAATGAATTGGAAACTACGAGTTGAGATACGGGAGAATGCCGTCCATGTTCCACTTGTAAATATTCATCTGTTATGCAATTTAAATATTCTGAATGACTTTTCATGGCGAGTTAACTGGTAAGCATCTACTTTGTGAATCTAGTGAAGCTGCTTTGGTTTATCCACCNATTTGAGCCTGTTGAAGCTTTGTAGTAAAAATTGTGAGGGAAAGCAGATAAGCTGTTATATTACTCAGTACTTATTGATATCTTTTGAAGGTTAGGCTGGATTTCTCGTCAGCAATTCGAAGATTTTTGGATGACACTTTTTGGTGTGCTTTCATCAACTCCAACGGGCAGTGAATTGACCTCAGAAACTTCAGCTGTAAATAAGCTTGTCATTTATCAACAATAACTTCATTGGATCATAGAAGTTTGTTATAGAATCTTTCGGAGCAGATATTATCAAGTAGCGTAGCTGTATCAGTGCTCACAGACATATTACTCTACAGCCTTTTATATCCTGAACCTGGTAATCCGCCAACTGGTCGTTTTGTCATCAAACATCGCGAACGGAACGATCCTTTCTATCAGTCGAAGTAAGACAGAATATTAATGATATTATTATCACCAAACATGATTCGTTTGTACTCAGATCGATGCAGTTGCTGTGCAAGCTGAAGGCAAGGTTGACTGGCGACCTCGATCCACCGCAGGCATATCGTAGAAATCTTGAACGGCTTAATGATACGGTAACTTTCTTTGTAGTGAATTTCTTTTGTATTGCTATTTCTGTTCTTTGTATATTCGGACCCATTTGCCATCTGCTGTCAGGGTGAATACTACGGATTTGGCCAGCTGTCAGCATTGTCACTGTGGACTCTAACGGGAGTCTTAAACGAAGAAAATCCGCAGAAACTCACGAAGACCGATAGTCCGGTGAGCGTTACAGTTTTGTCTTTTGCCAGTTTTTTNTTTTTTCTATTATATGTATTCTTTTCACTAAATTCTAGTTGAAAACGTGGTATCCGAATTAGTTCCCAAGGTCGCAACTAAACTTTGCTTCGCTTGTTGCATGAGCTCAGTTGCTGTATTACACCGATGCATAACATACTATCAGATCGGGAAGAATGGAATGTACTCAACTTGGGGTTGATTAATTCTTGCAAGAATACACTATACCGTCAGTTTTATCGCGGGACCATGGTAAAGTGGGTGAACTCGTTCGTCATGGTACTGTTATGTCCTCCTAAGCGAACGTCCAACGACCAGCTGGCTTTGGGGGGATAGAGATCCACTGGATCGGGAATCCAGTCTTTGGTAAAGTGTGAGCTTGTGCCGCTGCCGTGCTTTGATCCTCTGAGAGATTTTTTCTAGAAAGTTGATTTATTTTAAAAGACGAGACAGATTCTAAAAAGGTCCTGCTAATTTATCGCATGGCTTGCAGCGGATGCGCGTATCGCTATCTGAATTCATCCTGAAGACAACCTGTGAGCTGGACACCGCTTCATCAGTACGCGCCTTGTTTGAGAACTTCTCACATTGGTTCACTCGTGGGATTGACTATCTTCCTCTGCCGCTTCTGTGCTCAACTGTCAAATCGGTCAGCGTTTTTCATATAAAGTGAAGCTGTTTTGCCTGAAAGTAAATTCAGAATTTCGCTAGAGACTGTAGTATTCCAGCCCGATTTCAGATGGCTTTGCTGTCAGATCTGTTCGATGACTCGGCGTCTTATGAATTTCTTTACTATCAGATGAGGAGCATTTTTCGTGGAGGTAGTCCTTTTTTATTTGCCTCATTATTTTTCTTCTGTATAAGCATCGGAGTTTGATCTTATGTAGTTTCTACGTAGTACTACAGTAAAATGATGTACATATGATCGCATGATCGCACATGTACTTCGAACTAGGCAATCTTGTGCTCAACCAGCCCAAGAAGAGCTTGCCCTCGAGACGAAACCTTCGATTCAAGCATCGCACTTACCCTCGTAGGTGTCGGCTTGCAGCTGTCCTAAACGTTCCTGTTAAGGTCACCTGGATCGTCATCCGGATAACGGCTATGTTATTTACAGCTTGTTGAAAGCTGTAACAGTCATAGGACTCGAAACTGCATCCCGTGGTATGACTGAAGCTGACCTAGCGAAGCAAATACTCTCCTGGGTCAGTTACCAAGCCTCTTTGTATTGATCAAGTACTGGACCCTATTACAAAACTTCAGGTCGAATATGGATTGACTTCGGATTATCCATTTGTTCGTGAGTCTGCGTTACATGGCTTCATTTACCTGATGCAGTCCATGACACTGGATCCCCTCAAGCCTGTCGTTCAGTACGTTACAGGGTTCTTACTGGAGGAGACAGGGAAACAACTTGCTGTGACCGACCCCATTCATGTCTGCCCGTGGGTGATATTTATTATTACTCAACTATTCAGACACCCACTTGTTTTTATTTGTATTGGCATTTGCAATTTTTTTTTCTTCTTGAAT